GCACTTTAATAACTTCCTGTATAGATGATGAAGTTACTTTTAAGGCTTATCTGAGTTCACTTTTAACCCCTTAAGAAAACAGCAATCGGAATTGTGAGAGACTAATAGTGATAAACCTACTGTGGCTTCCCCCAGCCATCCTGGATGACTAGAAGCTACATCCCAGAGCTGCAAAAATGGAGTCTTTTATAGCACACAGAATGTTCTCTGCTGGGCTGCACTCAAGTTACGATGGTGATTTTGAACTGCACTTTTACCCAAAGAAAAAATTTAATATCAGCAAAGTCAGTGCAACCATAACATAGGATGAGAAGTTCAGGAAATTCTGGCTGAAGTGTAAGCAAAGAATCAAGGTTATGTTATCACAAAGGTTTCTTGTTATTTCTTTGTCTTTGTCAAATGCAGTCGCCAATGGCACATGTGCTGTTCTGTCCTCAGGGGAGATGGATCAGATGGGGTCAGCTGCTCAGCTAGCAGGTACTTCTTAGCACCATCCATAGTGTTTTATTCAGGTTTTACTAGAGCTTAATGAATAGCTATTTGAATAAAAAGAAATAACAAGAAAGCTTTGTGCTCTAGTAAAACCTGAATAAAACACTATGGATGGTGCTAAGAAGTACCTGCTAGCTGAGCAGCTGACCCCATCTGATCCATCTCCCCTGAGGACAGAACAGCACATGTGCCATTGGCGACTGCATTTGACAAAGACAATGTGTCAGCTCCGGGTCTGCAGGGAGACATCCCCCTCCCCAACTCTCCCCAATTTCTGAGGTACTGGCAGGGAGCCTCTGTGGGGCAGTGGAAAGGGAGCTAAGGGCACAGGCAATCTGACAAATGGGAAGTTTACTTTGTCAACAAAGGTCCGTCTAGTAAGGCTATGGTTTTTCCAGTGGTCATTTATTGATGTAAGAGTTGGACTATAAAGAAAGCTGAGCACCAAAGAATTGATGCTTTTGAACTGTGGTGTTGGAGAAGACTCTTGAGAGTCTCTTGGACTGCAAGGAGATACAACCAATCCATCCTAAAGGAGATCAGTCCTGGGTGTACCTTGGAAGGACTAATGCTGAAGCTGAAACTCCAATACTTTGGCCACCTGATGCGAAGAGCTGACTCATTTGAAAAGACCCTGATACTGGGAAAGATTGAGGGCAGGAGGAGAAGGGGATGACAGAGGATGAGATGGTTGGATGGCATCACCAACTCAATGGACATGGGTTTGAGTAAATTCCAGGAGTTGGTAATGGACAGGGAGGCCTGGCGTGCTGTGGTTCATGGGGTTGCAAAGGGTTGGACACGACTGGAGTGACTGAACTCAACTGAACTGAAGGCAGAATACAACTTGCATGTGACTGAGTTTTTAGAAACAGATTTCCAAGATGCATTCTTCTTCATCGTTAATGCTCTGTAATGCCAAAGCATTCACAAAGAAAAAGACAACTTAGAAACTGAAGGTGAAGTTGGGGGGGCGTTGTGGAGGGAGAGAATGAGGGCTGGCCTTGGGCAGTGAAAGTTCTTAAATCTATTTATATCTCCAAGTTTTGAACTGGGATTTGTAAACTGTAAAGTCTCAAACCCAATTTTTAACAAAAGTGAATAAGGCTTTCTATTTGATTGAGAAAACAGGGTGACTAAATACTATGAGAATTCATGAACATAATAATTTTCATTTATCCATATTAATCATGTTGAAGGAGCCATGATAAAGGCTCAGTACTAAGTTGCTGGGTTGTTGTTGTTGCGTGTGTGTGTGTGTGTGTGTGTGTGTGTGTGTGTGTGTGGTAAAGTGCAGCATTTATTGTAAGGAACCAATACAAGAATGGGTGGTGGTTCATGCTCTAAAACTCCAAACTCCCTGAAAGTTTCCCAATATTCACTATTAGTTTTAAAAAGAATTCTCTTAGAGAACTACTACAAAGTTGGGGAAGCTGAATTTTAACCCAGGTATTGAACTCCAAAACTCATTGTCTTGACATATTAATAGATGCTTCTTTAAATGATTCAACTATTTACATGACAAAGTGTACTATGCTATGCATCCTTCTCTTGGATTTATATGCATAATTTTATCTCCAGTTTCTTTTGCTGCCAGCTATCTTAGGTAGATGTGTTCTTGATCAGCGGTTACCTCCAGAATTATCTTTAATGCCCAGGATTATCTAGTTCCCAGGACTGGGTTTGTGTTTTGACTCCTGCTGTTTTCACTAGGCCTGCCTCCCTTGGGGCTAAAATTGTTCCCTGAGCCCCTGTTCAGGGCTGTGTCTCTTCTGCTTCTGGAGAAGCCTCCTAGATGACACCTCTTTGGGTGTCTAATTCATCACAGAGAACTGAGAGATACCTGTTTGTCTCAAAATCATTGATGCTGACCATTGTCATGGGACTCTATCTAATGCTTTGTACCTCCTCATATAGCCAAACCTGCTGTCAGGGCTATTCTGCTTTATCTAGTAGGTGGGTCTGGAATTGTAGCTGTGACATTGACAGTAACCATATCTTAAGTATAAACATCTTACTACTACATATTTTCTCAGCAACTACACCTGTGCATTTACCTGAGGGAACACAAACTGTTTATAAATGACTTTCTTCATATTATAGGTTTATACATATACATATGCACACATATATATACATATGATAAATGCATTAAGGGTTTGTTTCAGTTCAGTTCAGTTGCTCACTTGTCTCTGACTCTTTGCAACCCCATGGACTGCAGCACACCAGGGTTCCCTGTCCATCACTAACTCCCAGAGCTTGCTCAAGCTCATGTCCATTGAGTTGGTGATGCCATCCAACCATCTCATCCTCTGCCATCCCCTTTTCCTCCTGCCTTCAATCTTTCCCAGCATCAGGGTCTTTACCAAGGACTCAGTTCTTTGCATCAGGTGGCCAAAGTATGGGAGCTTCAGCATCAGCATCAGTCCTTCCAATGAATATTCAGAATTTATTTCCTTTAGGATGGAATGGTTAGATCTCCTTGCAGTCCAAAGGACTCTCAAGAGTCTTCTCCAACACCATAGTTTAAAAGCATCAGTTCTTCGGCACTCAGCTTTCTTTATAGTCCAACTCTCACATCCATACATGACTACTGGAAAAATTATGACTACAAAAAAAAATTCTTTTAATGATGTATGTAAATAAGTTGGGGCTTCCCAGGTGGCACTAGTGGTAAAGAACCCACCTGCCAAAGCGGAAGACGTTTAGAGATGCAGATTCCATCCCTGAGTTGGGAAGATCCTCTAGAGAATAAAATAAAACACAGCCCATTTGTGTTCTTGCCTGGAAAATCCCATGGACAGAGGACTCCCGTCAGGCTACAGTCCAGGGGGTTGCAAAGAGTTGGATATGACATGTAAATAAGCTTAACTGTGGGTTTCATTTCAGAATAATAAAAGGGTCCTAAAATATTTGGCATTGTAAGGCACTGTTAAAACCACTGAGGTGGTGAAGAGTAATCTTCACCACCTTTTAAAATACTTTAATTCAGATTCAGGTTCTGAATATGAGGACTGTGATAAGGATCAAATTTTCTTGAGTCTCAACTTATCTATAAAATGGAGACAGTAATTATAATTCAGGGCTGTTATGAATATTAAATGTCAGTGTATATAAATCCCTTTTACCCTGCACATAGTAAATGCTGAAAACTGTTAGCTATTATGATCATTATTAAAATAGGGATGATATATACCTTGTAAGATTGTAAATATTCAGCAAGAAGTAGACAAACTGCCTAATTAACAGACATTGTGAATATCACATTTCATTGAATCCAAGTTGTACCATTAGTTACCTCCAAGAAAGACAAAAAATACTGCCAGTTGCACAATAGTTATAGATAGTAAGGTTGAAAAATGAAATGTTAGTCACTCAGTCATATATGACCCTTTGTTACCCTGAGGACTATAGCCCGCCAGGCTCCTCTACCCATGGAATTCTCCAGGTAAGAAGTGGATTGCCATTCTCTTTTCCAGGGGATCTTCCTGACCCAGAGATGGAACCTGGATCTCTAGCATTGCATTTATAAACAGTAAGGTAGATTCCAATTTCAGGTTCGTTAAGTCTGAAAATTTTGCATTAAAATAAAAATACTTTCTCTCTTCTTCTCTTCCCTATTACTTAAAGAATGAATAATCTTTACTCCTTAGAATCTGAAATTTTGTTTCCTGTTCTTTTTCCTCCTACCAAGACCCTAGGATCTCCTACTTACTTTGCTACAAAATAGCTACAAGCACTGTAAGTTTTCTGTATCACTTTTATACTATCAGGACTCCCCTTTATTTCTTCCATCTCAGTGTGAATTCAGCTGCTCAGCATTCTGATTCTTGTTATACAAAATAAATGAATATTTAAAAAGCCCAAAACTTCTTCCTAGTTACTTAACACCTCTGATCTAATATTTAGGTTCAGAACCATTTAGCAATGCATATGTACACCTTTGGGCTTTCCAGATGCCTCTAGTTGTAAAGAACTCATCTGGCAGAGCAGGAAAGGTAAGAGATGGGGGTTCAATCCCTGGGTTAGGAAGATCCCCTGAAGGAGGGCGTGGTAACCCACTCCAAGATTCTTGCCTGGAAAACCTCATGGACAGAGGAATCTTGCAAGCTACAGTTCATGGGGTCACAAAGAGTTGGACATGACTGAAGCAAGTTAGTAAGCATGCATGCATGCATGCCTTTAAAATGAACAGCATGGTGACTGACCAGGCACTCCGTGGGAAACTGACAAGACTGGGAAGAAATTCAAACATGAAGTAAGAAATGGCAAATTTATATGCCAAAGGTGGTAGAAAGGTTAAATAGAATGAAAGTGGAGAGTAGAAAACTTTCTCACAAAATGACTTCCTAGGAAATCTCTTCAAATGCTCAGAAACACTGTTCTCTCTGTCTCACCTAGCAAGTAAAGTGTTGTTAATATAGTTGGTCTCTTATTTGGCTAAACAAAATTAAACAAACATCATAATTTCAGAAATAAAATAATAGAAAAGCAGAAATAATTCAAAATAAGGTTTTGGTTATTCTGTTTATTTCACTTAGGACAGTCAGTGGGCATTAACTGGGGTACTTAAAAGTCATTTCAATTAGGCATCTCTTTAGTCCTTCATCGATTATTTCAAGTGTTCTAGTCTCAAATACATTCCTTTCTTCTACAAACTTCTGGAAGAGATGAGTACCTCCACCCACACCAAAATAATGTACTTTGCTGGCCAAAAGCACCCGTCCATTTTTATCTAACAATCTAAGGAATGTTTGGTGCAAAGGACCATAATAATCTGGATTGTAGATCGTTTCTGAGGTAAGAATGAGATCATATTTTTCAAAGACTTTTTCACTGCTCAGTACAAGCTTACAAAACTCAGACCACTCCCCTGAAAAGAAGCGGCATTTACATAGCTCTTGTGCTACTGCTGATCTCCTGAGTCTTTTCACATCTGGTTCATTTACATCATTTTCTTCATCTTCCAAAGTGGAGTTAGCCACTACATTAGGTAAGGTTACTTCATCAATCACCACACTGTTATAATCTTGAAAATGAATTTCTTTGGCACCTCCCTTGAGTGCCATTATACCCAGCAACCCTGATCCACAACCAAGATCCAACACTTTTTTCCCAGCAAATTTCACTTTGGCCTTTGTCAAATATGCCAGGAGGTCAAAGGTACACTCCCAGATTTTCAAGCCTCCTTCATAAACACCTGAAATCAGGTCAGAGTGAGAAGAAAAGCTTTTTGAAATGATGTTTTCTCCAGGGAAGTTCTCTTTCAACAAGGTGGTTTTCATTATTGATATGTTAATGTGTTGGAGACCTGGTAATGTTTCTGTGACTTTATTTTCTAACACTTTCTTTAAATCTTTAGGCATAGCATGCTCTTTGGCAACTCTCAAGCAGGTCTTTTCCTCGTGTGGTTCCAAGTTACTTGAACTGTTAGCTGTACTGAATGAGCTGTCTGGATCTTGAGAGGGAGCCTCATTTCCCTCTGACTTATGTTCCCACAAATGGTCCTGCAGCAAGTCAGATTGTTCTGTGGAACATTTTTTGTCTCTGTGTGTACCTTTTTGTCTTTCTGAGACTGAAGACTCTTTTGAGGAATGTAGGGCTAAAGCTCCATCTGCAAGAGATGTTAATTCATCTTCCAGATGGTCTTCTATAGTGAAATTAAATTGAAAAGTCATTCTCTCATAAAATGCACACAACTGTTAAACTCCAAGGAAGCTTCTTCAACTTCTGGATAGAACTGATGACACAAATATAAACCTGCCTCAATTAATTATTGTTAGTTTTGCTGAAAGTCTATTTCTCTTTAGTTGCTTATACAGTTACAAATATTCGGAGCTATTTCCAAATGACTTTTAAGAGGTCTTTGCTCTTCTTTCAGTGCAGCTCTAGAGAAAAGGAAAGAAATGAAAATTGTTATTAAGAAGCAAAGTGACACATTTCATTTAAATTTAATATTAAACATTCCACCCTCCCCCACCAACAGCTTTTCTATGAAAGCTGTGGAGGGAGAAGAAGACAAGAGATTTGGAAACACACACAGCCTTCAGGGTTCAAAAGCTGAAGATAATAAATTCTAAAAACGAACAAAATAACGCCAGCAGCAGCAGCAACAATTAAAAACAACAGAGTCAGAAATTCTCGGGCAGAAAATGATCAGTCTAGCGATTGTCACGACCCTGCGCAAACATATAATATTTCCCTCTTAAACTGCCAGAATCTTTTCAGTCTGTTACTGTTTCAAGTAACAGGACTTCAAGATTGTATTTTGCTGAATGAGCATCCCTTTAAAAACATGCACAGGTATGCTGATGTGTGTAAATTCATCCAAATGACCTAACTACAAACATTCAGCCGAGATCAGCAGCCCTAACTGTACTGGGAGGGAGGTAACTCTGGAGTAATTAGTAAAGATTAGCTTGACACAAAATAAGGGTACTGAACCGTGTGGACAGGCCCGTAGAAAATGGAAGCAACTTAATCAAGAGGGTCTTCTCTGGGTTAAACACTTAATATATACCATCAGTTCAATCTGCACACCAATTCTGACAGGTGGGTCTCTAGCCCCATTACACAAGATGTACAGAGTAGGGTCAACACATTAAGAGGGTAGGAAGTCGCCTGTTTCTATCCCACTTCACCGCGGGACTTGCAGTCATTCCTGGTCGCATGCCCGGGTCAAACCCAACCCCAGATGTGCAACCAAAATGCCCCATGGGATGGAAGGTTGTAAATCTGGGGACTCTCGGCCCTCACCTCCCCCACAGCGTCTCAAAACAACGTTGACAGCGATACAAACTTTAAGATGCTCGCCGCCCGGCGGACTCCCAACTCCCCTCGCGGAGAACGCCGGCCAGACTCGCCAGACCGGAAACGTGCACCAGTGAATCGAGTCCTCCGCAGGCCAGACAAGCCCGGCTTTCTTCCCAGTCGTGTGGGGCCCGGGCTCACCAAGGAAGGCGGCGCCCTTCCTCTCTATGGTCTTGGTTCGCAAGGCCTGCCGGGACTGTGGGAGTTTCCGGTCTTGGCTCTGGCGGGAGTGTTTGGAAGCTTTGGTGCTGGGCGAAAGCATGTCTCAGGAACGCGCTGTCCCGGCGAGCGCGATTCCACTGGAAGAAATAAGTAGCTGGCCGGAGGAACTATGCCGCCGGGAATTGCCGTCTGTCCTGCCTCGGCTTCTTATATCCTTTATTGTCATTTCCACCTGGAGAGGGCTGTGGGGCCGGTCTCCAACCTTCTGTCTCATCTAACCCGCTTTCGGGCCTTGTTGGGTCCTTGCGGCTTCAACCTTCTCTGTTGACAGCGAGATGAGTAAGCGAGGAAATGAAGGGCGAGCGAGAGCCGTGGATGTTGAAGCCGGAGTACGCTTGGCTTTGGCGTTGGGAGGGCTTTCGGGTGTTCTTACAATGGTTTTCGGCAGTGGATATGGCGTTTCCTTCCACTCCTCTGGGCCTTCAAGTTGCTCTTTACGTGCAATTAACTGTGATTACTTTTGCTTGTTGGAGATCGGGAGAGACACGAACTTAGCCTTGAGCTGTAAGGTGAGCCGACTCTGGATGAAGTAGAGGAGAGCGTGATACTCCGAGCGCTCATCTCTAAAATGGGTGGTGAAAGTGAATACCTTCCTCCACTATTTTGAGAATCAAATTAAAAGACGTAGTTCTGCCATGTGCCAGGTCTGTAAAAGATGTTAAGCAAATTCAAATGTTATTCCCGCCCAGTTTTCAAACCTCTTGGTTTATTGCTGGTGAGGAGTTGCTTCGTTTACTAATTGGCTTTCATGTGCTGCGTTTGAGGTACTCCGTTCAGGTGCAGACCATTTAGTACTTGAATCCCTTTTGGATTGTAAATATATGTTGAGGCCTAACCCCTCATGTTAAAGGGTAACTTTTTTTTTTTTTAACAGCTTTGACCACAGAAAACTTAAAACTGCACTCAAAAACAAGAGCCTCACTTGAGACATTCTGAACACTGCACAAGTAATTTTTTACAGATAAAGCCAAATGTAGATATTACTGTCACAAAGAAATCATTCACCTGGACACTGTCAAAATCTCACTTCGGTGCCAAAAGCCTTTCTTAGTTGTGCCCATATGGAATTTCTCTCCTAAAAGATTTTTGATTTCTGCAGCTAATAGCCATTCTTCTCAAACACTTTTGCAGTGTACATAATACATAGCAGGCAGGGTGTTAGGCTTAGGGGGAACAAAGAACATGGTTCCTCCTTCCCCACCTCAAGCTCATAGGGGATTTCAGTAATTGAAAGTAAAAATTTTTGTTCCCCCCCCCCCAAAAAGAAAAAGTCAGCATTCTCTCCTGGTTTTCATCTCAAACTTAAAATTCAAAAGAACAAAAACCTGTTCTTTTGATGAAATTTTAAGTTTCATCTCAAAATTCGAAAGAACCAAAACCCCTGGGCTTCTTAAACGGTTTCACAAGCCAAAACCTTTAATCAAGTTCTTTCATTTCTGCCCTCAGAATGTATCTTGAATCCATCATCCCCATTTTCTGCCACTGCTCCAAGCCCCCGTAACCTCTCATCTGGGCTGTAGTTAATAGTTCTCTTGCTTCTACTCATGTCCTTTTATAATCTCTCCAATAAAAGTTCAGATTGAAAAACATGTCATTTCCTTTTTAAAGCACCCCTTACCACAAGGGCTTCTTAACAAATTAGGAATAAAACCTAAACTTTTACTTTCAAGTCTCCTCATGTTCGAAGCCTTGTCCTCTCCTGCTTAGCTCACTACATTCTAACCAAAGATACATGAAGCTCACCTGCCTTAGGATCTTCATGTTTGTTGATGTTCCATGTAGCTCTCCCAGCCTTCGGTAGGTCTCATTCAGGTTTCAGCTCAAATGTCACCTGCCTAGGTGAGCCCTTTTCAGAGCCCTGAGTTTTTGGTGGTTTCCCCCAACCCAGTCACTAATACTCATCACATTGCTCTGTTCAGTTTTCTAAAGAGCAGTCAGATCGTTAATAGAAATTATGTTGTTTACTTTGTTTTGTTTTTGCTTTTCCTCACTACACTGTGAAGTTCATAAAGGCAGGAATTTTGTTTTCACTGCATTGTCTCCAGCACTTAGAATAGTTCCTGGCACATAGTAAGCATTCAGTGAAGGGCTAAAAACTTTTGTCACGTTTTAAACAGCATGAAGTCTCATTATATGATTTTTGTTTTTCAGCTTTTGGTTTTACTACAGCACTTTTCAACAAATGAAAGAAATTTTCTATAAATCCACAGTCCTGTCACCCAAACATAATTATTTTTATCTTTTGCATTTTGCATGTTATTTTTCAATCTTTGCCTGCTTGTCTGTATAACCATAACTTAAGTTTAAATTTTGGAAGAGGCTAAATTTTTTTTTTTACCTTTTCTAAAATTTATCCACGAGGCTGATTCTTCCCTGAACTAAAATAAATTAATGACCATGCCTCATTTTGATTGCTGCTGTAAGATATGTAGTTGCGAAGTGAGATTTCAGAAGAAGAATGACTTCTTATGTTACTGTATTGGGGTTGTGGTGTTTTAATTTTTAAGATTGACACATGCTTTGATAATTCATATTATTTTTATAGTAAAAACTTTCTAACAATTCTTAATGGTTTGAAAGTATATAGTTTATAATGTGATTATTGTTGACGTTTACAGTGCACATAGGATAGTTTATTATCACATATTTGTAAGCTCCTATTTGCAGAAGAGTTTCAGTCTGATAAGGTGATAAGATAGATATGCTAATAACATGAAAAGAAGGTAGAAAATGATCCGTGACAGGTGTAGATACAGTACTATAGAAGTGCTAAGGGGAAAGAAATTTGTTTCGGAAACCAGAAACCATGGGTTATTATGGACTGTTTCTCATCTGTCAGAAATATGTCATAATTACATATAGTTTGAAGAGATAAGTTTATCCTTGAACGTTTTGAAAATACTTCCTTAAAGTATTTTCATTCTGTTCTTTGTTAGCCTAATAAGCATTACTTTTTTAAAAGCAAAATTATGCCAGTAATTTGAGTCTAATTTTAGTCTCTTACTATCATTGCTTAAACTTCAAGAAAGATCTTTTGAAAATCTATTCTCAGTAGTGAATATCTTACTCAGTTCAGTTTAGTCGCTCACATGTCCAACTCTTTGCGACCCCATGGACTGCAGCACGCCAGGCCTCCCTGTCCATCAGCAACTCCCGGAGTCCACCCAAACCCATGTCCATTGAGTCAGTGATGCTGTCTAACCATCTCATCTTCTGTCATCCCCTTCTCCTCCTGCCCTCAATCTTTTCCAGCATCAGGGTCTTTTCAGATGAGTTAGCTCTTCATATCAGGTGGCCAAAGTATTGGAGTTTCAGCTTCAACATCAGTCCTTCAGTGAACATTTAGGACTGATCTCCTTTAGGATGGACTGGTTGGATCTCTTTGCAGTCCAGGGGACTCTCAAAGAGTCTTCTCCAACACCACAGTTCAAAAGCATCAGTTCTTCGGCACTCAGCTTTCTTTATAGTCCAACTCTCACATCCATACCTGACTACTGGGAAAACCATAGCTTTGACTAGATGGACCTTTGTTGGCAAAGTAATGTCTCTGCTTTTTAATATGCTCTCTAGGTTGGTCATAGCTTTCCTTCCAAGGAGTCTTAATTTCATGGCTGCAGTCACCATCTGCACTGATTTTGGAGCCCAAGAAAATAAAGTCTGTCACTGTTTCCACTGTTTCCCCACCTATTTGCCATGAAGTGATGGGACCAGATGCCATGATCTTAGTTTTCTGAATGTCAAGCTTTAAGCCAACTTTTTCACTCTCCTCTTTCACTTTCATCAAGAGGCTCTTTAGTTCCTCTTCACTTTCTGCCATAAGAGTGATGTCACCTGCATATCTGAGGTTATTGACATTTCTCCCAGCAATCTTGATTCCAGCTTGTGCTTCATCCAGTCCGGCATTTCTCATGATGTACTCTGCATATAAGTTAAATAAGTAGGGTGACAATATACAGCCTTGATGTACTCCTTTTCCCATTTGGAATCAGTCTGTTGTTCTGTTTCCAGTTCTAACTGTTGCCTCCTGACCTGCATACAGATTTCTCAAGAGGCAGGTCAGGTGGTCTGTATTCCCATCTCTTGAATAATTTTCCACAGTTTATTGTGATCCACACAGTCAGAGGCTTTGGCATAGTCAATAAAGCAGAAATAGATGTTTTTTTGGAACTCTCTTACTTTTTCAGTGATCCAGCGGATGTTGGCAATTTGATCTCTAGTTCCTCTGCCTTTTCTAAAACCAGCTTGAACATCTGGAAGTTCACGGTTCATGTATTGTTGAAGCCTGGCTTGGAGAGTTTTGAGCATTACTTTCCTAAGGTGTGAGATGAGTGCAATTGTGCAGTAGTTTGATCATTCTTTGGCTTTGCCTTTCTTAGGGATTGGAATGAAAACTGAACTTTTCCAGTCCCATGGCCGCTGCTGAGTTTTTCAAATTTGCTGGCATATTGAGTGCAGCACTTTCACAGCATCATCTTTTAGTATTTAAAATAGCTCAACTGGAATTCCATCACCTCCACTAGCTTTGTTCGTAGTGATGCTTCCTAAAGCCCACTTGACTTCCCATTCCAGGATGTCTGGCTCTAGGAGAGTGATCACACCATGTGATTATCTGGGTCACGAAGATCTTTTTTGTTCTTCTGTGTATTCTTGCCACCTCTTAGTATCTTCTGCTTCTGTTAGGTCCATACCATTTCTGTCCTTTATTGAGTCTATCTTTGCATGAAATGTTCCTTTGGTGTCTCTAATTTTCTTGAAGAGATCTCTAGTCTTTCCCATTCTGTTGTTTTCCTATATTTCTTTGCACTGATCTGAGAAAGGCTTTCATATCACTCCT